AAATCCTGGACGGTAGGGCTCGCGAGGTCAAAAGACAGTTTAAGTGCCGACATGCTCCTCTTCCTCATTCTGCTCCTGTGTAGAAACGATCGTGGTAGTACTTCGCTATGGAAGTCAAGGAGCATTTAAACGAACGCGTTTTCGCAAGGGGTTGATTCACGCGGCGGGAATCAAATGGCTCCGAGAACCGGACCGCGTGGCAGTGTCCCATTAGCAAAACAGGAAGGCGTGGATGACCACGGAGCTTCGAGGACACGCGAAGGTCTGAGAACCGGGGCGAATTCGTGGCCCGCTCTTCTGTAGCGTCGACGACCGTCGGCAAACCGGATGAAAGTCGAACGGTCGACCTCGCCAGTAGGTAACACGCCGGTGTTGAGTTTCGCGGGATTTCGCACGATTATTCGGCGACATTTCGTGGTTTGCGGGGGAACAGAGGAACGCTCACGACTCTGAGAGTCGCGAATTGATGTGCAGAAGCGAAAATTGCATCCTCACCGCGCGCGAGGTATAACTTGCCGTGAGATTACTATAAACGTTCGACAGAGTGTTAGGTTTCATCGCGATTTCCCTGGTTGGCCGCGAAAAAATTTGCATCGTGACGTCGCGAGCTACCGCCAAGTTCGAAAAATCGTCGCGTCATTGATTTTGTAAAAAAAATTCCTCTGGAAAACTCGCGTATTTAGCTTGAAAATGTCCGCTAATATTCATGATTTCTCGCGAATAGACTCGCTTTGCTAAAGTCATACAATTATCATGAAATTCTTCCATTGCGCTGGTAATGAATAGATAATCTTCCATTCTGATCCATGTGACATCATGTACCGATTTCTTTGAAACATTCGATAAAACTCTGACAGACAATCTTTCTAGCTACAAGACCAGCTACTAGATCGACCACTTGCACAAAACGTAAGTGAACTCACGGAACATTAAATCCAGGGTCAAAGAACATTTCATAAGTACCGAAAGCCACCGACGGGAACATGTTCTGGGAACCGTGCGATACTCTTAGGAAGTAAAGCACTAGACAAGCCGCCGCTGGTCATCGTGAGAAGTGACAGAAGTCGTCGGCCACGCTGCGCGCATCTAAATTCGTTTCTCTCCTTCCGTCCATCGCGCAACGCATACATATGTATGCATGCGTTGACATTGCCGCGGCTCGCCGGCACGTGCTGTAAGCACAGGTGCCGACATGCGTGCCTGTGTGCATGCGTGCGCTCGTAAAGGCAAAAAAGCCGTAGACGCGCGCACTCGCGCGAGTACGAGAAGCCCGCAGACGCGAGTTGGAAAAAGAAAAAAAAAGCAGACCGACTATAATAATCAAAGGAATGACCCGTGCGAGCCGGTAGAGCGCCACTTTGTCGGACCTGTCTTTCGAGTTTCGTCTCGTATCTCGTGCTACATACAGACAGGTCCGTCGCTCACGATGCACGCACGCACACCGACGAGCTGCACGCGTGTCTGCAGTAGGTAGAGGCACTATGCGATACGCCCGATTTCCGGTTTGAGAAATGCCCGATTCCGGTTCCGAAGCGGGTCCGACGCGAGCCTGTCCGCTTGGTACCGCAAGAGCCGCGTGTCCTGGCGCCGCAGGTTGCCCGATGGGCTGCGCATACTGCGTGCGTGCGTTCGTACATCCATCTACCCGTTCGTGAGCGCACAAGCACTCGCGTACGCACAAATGGCCGTACGTGTCGCGACCCTGCGGTGACCTCGGCAACCTCGAGGTTCACGTGTCGGCCGCCGCTAGTGTGAGTGCCTTGTCGTCGATAATGCTGCACCGTAAGCACGTAATTGCCTCTTACGCGCGTACGCGCACGGTACACGCGTTGCGCAGTTACGTGTGCAGCGCGCGCTCGCGGCATTCTCTCGCTCTCTCCCTCCCTCTTTCTTTACGTTGCAGGATGCATGCCGCTGGTAAAAAGGCCCAGTGGAATGCCACATAGACGCGGTATAAGGCGGCGCGCGGCGTAATTTACTCGTTTGTAGCGCGAACGGGGCTCGCATGGAGCACGAATTCGCGTATTGGCCCCCAGAGGAAAACGGAGAACGGGCGACAACGCGCCACAGATACCATAGTAATTGGCGCGGGGTGCACCTGCGGGAAAAGAATGCGACCTCCGGATCCTCTGGCTCCTCCCGCGAAGCCGGAGATATTGACTTTTCCTGAGGGGGACAGAGAGAGGTGAGACGAGAAAAACGGTGCGCGCAGGTAGTCGGCGAGTCCGCCACCGCGCATTACGCTAAACGCGCTTTTCCCCGCCGACTAGTCGCGTCTTTCCCACATTCATTTATTTCAAGTTCGCGGCCACGAATTCCTATGAATACCTTGCGGTCAACCGTCAAACCACTGCAGAGTGTCAGTTGATTTTTCTGGAATTGGATGATAAAAGCGATATACCGCTACCACGACGCCGCGATTTCCCGAGTTGTCCACCTTTCGACCTCGCGTCAGGTATCAATCGTATCTCGAACGTTGGTATCCTCATTCTTTTTCGCGCGAACACGCGGATTGCGCCGCGAAAAACTGGTCGCTGTGTGCGTAGGCAGCTCTACGAAATAGCCGGCCGAAAGCGAGCGTTGACCCCTGCTTCGTCTTATCCTAACTCCTCTCTCGTCTCTCCTCGTGTGTATATATATATGTGCGTGTGTGTGTGTGTGTGCTCTTCCTTTTCTCTCCTTCTCGTCTGACCACTAACATTCGGCACTTAACTCCTCGACCGCCGCGAAGCCGCGAAAAAAACACTTCGTTTCGCACGTCGCTCAACACCCCGTCGAAAGTTTACGCCGAGATCCACTCCTAATATCCTTGCATTCGTGGATTCGATGCGCTTTTGCACGCGTCTGAATTAAATCGAAATGAAGAGGTCCTTATCCAACTTTTAAAATTTTTCTTGTGCAGGGAATGGCGTGAAAAGACACTTACAAAATTATATACGATCATATTTATTGATGTGCCTCTATCCATGATAGTCGATTCATCGTCGATTAGTCCGAAGATAAGTATGCGCAAATTAACGGAAGCTTCCACTGCCGAGTGCGCATAATTAGAATTGAGACATGTTGACGACAGCTGTACAAAACCGTCTAGTACTTAAAACGCCAGTCAGACTTTTCGCAACGCTCAGTGCAATCCGATATCTCGCACTTCCCGGTCCAAAATGCCAAGGGTGCGCGGCAAGTTCCCAAGGTGCGCCGCACGCGAATCTCATTTCGCATCGCGCGACCTCGGATTAGCATCGCATTATCGAGAACGCTGTCGCGAGAAGAGGCACCGATCGCGAAAGGAGCGCGGATCTATTTCATGTAAGCCGAATTCATGAGGCCCGCGTCGCTCGTCGTCATAGCCCCGGGTTATGACAGCGCAGTGCATTTGTGCCCGGTCTCGCCGCGACGACAGGATCTTACCCGCCGCCTTTTCCCGGTCACGGTCGGGCCTATCCGCACCTCTTCAGGCACAAGTGTGCCGGCGGCGACGCGAGACGCACCACGCCGGATAGTCTCATCCTCTCGCGGCGTCACCCTTCTCGTCGTATTGCCAGGCGGACGAGGAAAGCAAGACAGAGTAGAAAAGAGAAAGGGAGAGAGCGCGAAGAAGAGAGCAAAAGAGAATGAGAGAGAGAGAGAGAGAGAGAGTAGTAGACGAGAGATCAGGTATCAAGTGTAAAAAAAGAGCCATTGTACGGAAGCATCTGACCGTAGGGTAGGTACCGCGACGACGGTGCTGAAGGCAAGAGCGAGATGGATAGAGGGATGTGTATTTTTTTAGAAAGAAGAAGGGTTAAGGCGACAGAGAAAGAGAAAAGGAGTCTAGCAGTGGAGGTTGCCAGAACGCGCGGGGCGATCCTTCGTCGACGGAAAAGACGAGCAGACGATAGTAAAGGTGGGAGAGAGGGGAAAGATCGGTATGGGCTAGAGCGTTGGCAGTTTATAAGGGTCCCCGGTATTGTGGATACGTATTATCATGCTAAATATAACATGTTAACTACTTCGCATAATACCACGATCCTCTCGATTCCTCCCGGCACGGCCGATCGGCGAATCGCGTTTCTCCGTCACGCGCGTCGAAGATTTTATTGCCGAATTCGGCAGATGCAGCAACGATGCACAGTTACATGAGTAGAGACGAGCGGAAGTGTAGTAGTGGCGGTTCTCTTCGTCAATTCCGTTCGTCGGAAAGGCGTGGAGAGAGAAAGAGAGAGAAAGAGAAAGAGAGAGAGAGAGAGAGAGAGAGAGAGAGAGAGAGAGAAATGAAAGAGTTGCTTGTCTCTTATGTCTCTTACGTTCCAGCGTACCTGGCAATTTAATTATCGTTTTGACAAACACGCATCTTCCGAGTTGGGTCTAAGTGATCCTAATTGTGTCTAATTACAAAGGTATCGAGAATATTGCGAAATGTAAACTTCTACACAACGCTCACGAGATCTTTCGATTCATCTTTAATTTCTTTCTTGAGCCTTTATCTGTTATCTTGTTAAAATTTATAGAACCAAAAATATTTACAGTGCGGCATTAACGTCTCGATATCGTTGTAGTCGGAGAATTTGTCAATCCTTTTATTATGTTATTAATATTACATTCGTAAATTTTTAACATCTCACTAGTAGAATTAGCATTTGGGGAGTTCGCGCTGTATACAATTGTCTAATCTCGTATCTAATATTCGACAGAGGCTACTATCATCGTTAGAATACTAAAGAAGATCGAATTCCGTCAGACACGTGGGAGCAGGGTCCTCCTACGCTGCTCCTCGCGTTGCTTCGCGAAGAATTCGATCCCGAGATTGGTTGGGCGATGTAACGACGCACCGTCAAAAAAAGGGCCCGGGCGATGGGTGCCGTGAAAGGCAATCGGTGACAGCGCGAATGGGTCGCGTATATCGAGCTCGTTTATACATAGCGCGGATTCGACACGCGTTCTTCGGCAAGATCGCGGGAGCACGGTGATGCCCGTTAAAGGAGCCATATAACTGAAGGTCAATTCTCCACGGACTGTTGAAGGGGTGTGATGGGCCAGAAGCTGCTGGTGCAAGAGGCGCCTGGCTCTGGTTCCGGCTCGACGAATCGCATGGAAGGCGGCGAAGGCGCCGGAGGAGGGGAGCTTCACCACTTCCTCCATCAGTACAACCAGCAGTCCCACAGTCCCGGCCAGAGCCTGCAGGGTGGCCTTCCGCTTCCGCTGAGCCCGCAGTCCCTGCGACACGACGGTGCCTCGAGCGCCGGCATCGCCGGGGTCAAGAGGGAACCAGAGGACCTCAGCTCGTCGCGCGGCGGCCAGCAATCCAGCAAACGGCACAAACAGGCGCAGCCGGACAGTCCGACACCGCCGGGGATGTACCATCATCATCATCAACAGCTACAGGTGAGATCCACTCCTCGTAATCGACGGTGTCGATTTGATCTTTATCTCATCACGTCCTCTCAACGTGTATTTTCCCCTGTGACACGAATTTCCGTGTGAATTCTCGAGTACATACGAGTTCATTCGAAGTGGCAATCCGCCGCGCCACACTCATATCCCGCGCTATCTCATATCCCACGATCGTCGAGTGCGGTAAACATAGAAAAAGAAGAAAAGAAACGTTTACAACGCCAATTTTCGAGTGTCTTCACAAACACCGCGCGGTATCTGCCGGCGCGAAATTGCTTAAAGGCTCGCGATTTCCGTGCGGACGTGCGCGCTCATCGCCGAAACATTGTGTCACGTATAACCGAGAGCAATAAGCGCACACCGCAAAATAACACGCGATCCTTTCTCGTCATTGCCAGCCCCGGCAGAAAATAACATCGCTGAAATTCGCACTCGGCGAACGCATCCCTGGCGGCGGGCGTTCGCGCGTGGCGGCGGAGTCCAGTCGGGAGATTGCTCAATTGCGTGCGCTTTGCGCGGGTCGAATCGTCGCGCGATTTCTCCGCAAAAAGAGCACGTGTAAATGCGCGCGGGAAAGATCCGCTCGATGTACGCCGATAACGACACGTGCGTCAGTCGAGAGAAAGAAAGAAAGAGAGAGAGAGAGAGAAAAAGAGCCAACCGCAATGTACCTGTCCGCAGGTGCAGCAATACGGCAGTCCCTACGACCCCTACTCATCCTGCAGCCCGCGGTTGCAGTCGGCCGCGTACACCTCCACGTCGGCGACCGGGACAGCGAATGCGGCGAACCAAGGCGGCCTCCATCAGGAGGCGACGACGGTCTACGTCGCAGGCGACACTCTACCGCCGCTCGCATCGTCGAGCGCGCCCTCGTTGTCTACCACGACCGCTTCGTACACGAGGTACGAGGTTGTGCCGAGCTCATACGCTACGACACACGCGATACGCTCGTCATCGAGCAGCAGCAAAGTGCTGACCGTTGATCTTCCCAGCCCCGACTCCGGTATAGGCGCCGACGCGGTCACACCCAGGCAGGACCATCATCCGCCCACGGCGCTTCATCAGGTGAGTGCTGATCGCGCGATTCATTTTCCCCCTGCTCGATACGTGAAAGTTTCATTTGTGCGTGACTTTCGGACGCGTTTTTGGACACGCGAAACGTATTCACAATCGATGTGCTCCAGCTCGAGAAATGAGCTGGACATAATTATCGTCAAGTCTCGCAAAAGATATCGAGAGTCGAATTTAATACGGTTAATACGGGATGTTCTGGCAGCGCAATCGCGACGAGAATTCGTGGGAGAATCCGTTGGTGTCTCGGCGACACGAGTAATTGAAGTAAATTCGATTACTGCAGATGTGGAACCTGAGAGGGACGACCGGGGCGAAACGAGCCGATAATCCTCGCGTGTTACAGCATATCGTTCCGTCACGTTGCGCAAAAGAGCAGCGCCCGAACGTAACGCTATGTCGCGCAAAGTCGTTTCGACGAGCACGCGGTCGTAAGAGGCCCTCGCGCGTCTATATAAATTGCAATCAGCAGGCGACGTCAGACAGCGAGGCGATAGGAACAGGATCGCGGCTATCACGTCAGACCGCTAGATCGGAGTGATCGCGAGTATGATCGCGCGCGAAGAATTATGAGGAGAGACGCGCAGAGAAATGTTTACCGTGCGGAGACGCCCGCTACCGTGATACGCGGCAAGCACGACGTCATTAATCGTCCAGGAAAGAGTGCATTCATAGCGCGATGGTGCAGCGCGTGGCGAGGAGAGGCGCGGAAACGATCGAGGAGCCTCGGGTATAAAACGCGACCTGTACGTAACCGCAGCTCAATCATGGACCTGGATGCCGCGCGCGCGTCACGGTAAACGGCATCATCCGCAGCTTGGGCGAGGCGCTATCGTTTTCAATTTGATCGCCCGTACAAATGATTTCGCCCACGGCGTCGTAACAGCGACGCGCTACAATTAATAACGCGGCGCGGTATCGTAAATATCGTTCGTTAACGCCCGGCTCTCGTCGCTCTCGCCGCTCAAAGGACACTTTCGCGCGTCCAATGTGCATGGGGTATTAACCGTTATCCTGTTTCGAGTGCGTCGGGAGCGATATTGGCTTGTTGCCGCGCATTGCTGTCGTTTTTGATGCGATTTGTCAAGCGAGTGCTTTCGCCCACGAACGACGACGACGACGACGACGACGACGACGGTCTCGTCGAGACTCGGAGCCAGACTCTCTGGGCGCGATTAATTTTCTTATGGTCTCGCACGCAGGCCGCGTATAGTATAACGCGCGTAAGTCGCTCTAACACCGACACATCAAATGCGTGCACGACGACGGGATACCGTCGCTTCTCCCGTGGCGATTTGTCGAATCTTTCGCGCCGCCGTTACAGTTAGACCGGCGCGATAAATTCGGACGCTAATGCCGCATATCGCGACGTGTAACGCACTCAAAGGGGGAGTGATTATGGTATCGTGGATACCACGAGCGGAGCGGAGCGAGCGCGCAAAATTCAGCAGGGGAAAAACGCGAACCCGTTCCTCCGGTCCGCGCTTGCGATACTCGTCTGCGTTTTTTACAGCTAATGGTTCTGAGAGACATTCTTTAATATACCCTCGTCGGCATAGCGATCCTGTTATCGGGCTACTTTTACGTTTAAACGCCGACAAATGGAGATGTTAATAGTCACAGCGGACTTGGTTTACATAATAAAATACGTGCTCGAGCGTCGACGCGTAATGGGTCGGCTCTTGCGTAATAAGAACGACCGAGTGTTAATTTCTTACATTCATTATGAATACTCTTATGATCGTGCGCGGAATACCTTCGCCGGAGAAGAAGTCCGCCTTCAAGTTCTGTGTCAGAAGCGTTTGCCTCTTCCTTGTTTGCGTGAGTCTAAGCGGCTCATTTTGAAAGACTAAGTGACCATATCGCGCTGAGTCTCGTATCGGAGCAGTTCTCATTATGACACGGACAATTCGTCACGTAGCCGTTGGATATCGTCCACTTCCGGAAGCATTAATCGTGCAACGGTCGCGCGCGTGCGTTACACGCGCGAGAGTAAGTCATTAGCATTGCACACAGTCGGCATTACGAATTAGAAAGCACGCGTCCGTTCTGCTCCGCTTGCACCGGAGAGGAGCTGGAATCAAGTCCGAAGACTCGCGCGGGTGCCTATCGAGCGAACATATCAAACGTATAATTGCACCACTGAAAACTGATATCCACTCGCCTGTGATCTCGGTACGTTCACATTATGGACGCAATTAAATTGCTAATATTCCGAACGGCTAATGTTAGGTTTTCCTGTCGGCACTCTTTTGTCAAAATTTTTTGTAATTTTGCCTCAATTTCTTCATCTAAATTCTCTTCGAATTTTGTGGAATGAAATTTTATTCAAAAAGTAGAGCGACCACCAAGTTACTTGAATTCGATTTTTTATTCATTTTCACTGTCGCTTCGAGTGAAAATACTGCCACTTTTCATCTCATTTTGAATGAGACTTGACTCTAAGAAATTTAGAGAGTGAATTATCTCGTCTGGTCGCGCTTTCTATCGATAGTTTCCGCGATGTTTAGGCGCGACGCAGTTCTAAATCGTTGATTATGAATGCGCGACGTGAGAGTGACAAGAGAAAAAAACGATGTCGTTAAACTGCTCGTAAAGTTCGTTGCGCATTACGAGAGTAGCGAGTCTCGTTGCGAACGAAGTGCGCGCTTCATTCTATGCATTCCTGCGATATCGTGTGCGTGGAACATGTATCATATTCTAACCAGACACGGATTTTTAGCCGATAGTCGTTTTAGAGGGTTTTTCAGCTCTCTTGCTCGGATATTAAATATTTATCTTCGTGCCCTCTCCCCGCCCTCCTCTCTCACTTATCTGCTGTACAAGACAGTTTTGCGCGCTCATGTCGGCGATCACCGCGGCTCGGATTTCTCGCGAAACGTTGACTCGATTACAGGCGTCGGAGTGACGTCTCAATTAGAGCGGTCGTGTAGCGCGACGACGAAACACGATAAGTAAATAAATCATTCCGGCGAATCGCACGAGCCGCGCGCGATCGCACTCGCGTAGTGAAAGCATAAAGATATCGAAGCCTCTCGGAGTTAATTGCAAAAGCGCTCAAAGTCGCGAATGAGAAAAAATGAGTGTGACGCAGATAATCGGCCGATCGAGTGTTCTCGTTGAGAGAAGAGGTTTTAGATACCAGGACATTAACAATTAAAAGATGACACGCGACTTTCGTACTAATTATATCTCGTGCGTTTAATGCTCGAAGCGTTCGGAGAATTCCAAAAGAACGAAACAGCTCCTTGCAAGGACGTAGATTCACTGGCTCGAGAACTATGCAGGAAAAAAGTCGCCGTGCTTATTTAATTTTTTTTTCTCCGTCGGAATGACACGGGGAGAGTTGAGGCAACGAGCTGCGGTAACCGCGTTGTATTGAAAAATAACTGCAGGCGACGCGTAATCGCATGAAGACATATGAGGGAATAGGTCGTTTGGCAAGCCGCTTATTAACAGCCACGGTTGGAAGCGCGTGCGGGTTGTGCGGTTAATTTTACGAGACCACAAAGCTCCTATTCTCTCTTCTTCTTCCTCTTCTGCTTTCGCAGGCTCCGCCACGGCACACATACGTGCGAGCAAAAACGTACTCGGTTGCGTGCGGTCGCAGACATCAATGAAAATGTATATCGCCGCGAGTGAAAGGTCGAAAATCTTTTCGCGAGTTTCCCGAGCGTTGAGCCACTAAGCTTTGTTTACGATGCGGGTATCATCGATGAGCAGACGAGAAAAAGATTCTAGCAGACGCTGTAGTCGGAATAGTCACGTGAAGTCGCGTGCTCCAGCACGATTAATCATCTATCGGTGATCCTCTTAATCACGCGTCCCATAATTTATCGAACGATATATTCGAAAGATTAAAGAATAAAATGCATTGATATGCAGAGTAGAACGCGAACGGATATTGAATCGCGACAGTCGTCGCGAGGTGCCCGCGAAAGAAACAGAATCGGCAAATGATTACATCGTTATTAGTTTTTTAAACACTAATTGCATCGTAATCAGTGAGTATTTGAATCAGCGTGAGATCGAATGCGTCTTCGCGTACGTGCGTACACGCGAGCGCCTTTTATATCTGCGGCGAGCCGGCGGCCGGAAAAGAGAGACAACTATCACTTCGTCTTCTCGGTACGCAGCACGCATGTCCCCCAACGAGTTGCTCAAAAATCAAAATTGCCATGCACTATCATTATGTACCGTGCAACTTTCTCGGCGAAAGAAATTCGTTGAAATGTTACCGGTTGATAATTCAGCGTTACGCGACCCATCACGAATACGACGGCACAGTCTCTTATTGGGCACGTGAGTTTGACGATGTGAAAAGTAAATTTTAAATATCAGGAGGAATGTTGAAACACTTGTGCGAAAAACTAGCTCGACTGAGATTATATAACGAGCAAGTACGCACCGCATTTTAGTCAGAATTATCAATAATTCTAATTTTTGCTTGCTCTGGCTTGACGCCGCGTCTTTCGTGAATTCGTTTTCTACGTTCCATCCCATTTCACTTATTTAGTTTCAGAGAAACAGCTGCAGACTTTCACGAAGGATGCGGAAGCCAGACTAAACATCCTTTTAATTATATCGAAAATGCATGTCGGATCGCGTTCTATCGCGTATGTTCATCGCTCGGACAGTTAATCCGGAATACGGAACTCTAAAATATCAGAATACTAGTCAGCTCTTCCCGCCATGCGCGTTGCGAGATACGATCGGTTGTGTTTTGCCTATCGTTGAATTCAATCATTAAACAACATCTTATTTTCTAGTCCTCGTTCGATTACACGGAACTATGCCCCGGCGGGACGACAGCCGGAGCGGCGGTGGTCCTCGAGAGCGGCGCCGTGATACACCACCAACCCCTGCAGCTACAGCTGCAACAGAGCCACGCGCAAGCACAGGTGCAACGAAGCGGTCTCGTGTCCGCAGGTGCGACGAATCCAAATCCGAATCCGAACCCGCCGAGGTCGCGGCCTTGGCACGATTTTGGCAGGCAAAACGACGCCGACAAGATACAGATACCGAAAATGTAAGTAATCCTAACAGCTGGACGAATCCCTTCTAGAAAAAAAATGCTCGATTATGCAAAATACTTCCTCATTTTGTCGACTCCAAGATACTTAACGCAAATTTTAGGGATAACAAGAACTCTGGGGTAAAATCGTATAACGCCGCTAAAATTTACACGATTAAAGGCTCGCGATTCTCTCGTGGTGTAATGACGCGTGCATTGCGATAATAATTTACGATAGCTATAATAAACGCGCGTTCTAATACAATGCGCAAACCAGTGCTCAAGTTATAGCCGGTCGGCCGGGTAGACGTATTAGAAGATAGATCTGCACCGCGATTGATAGATAGATCTGCCTTATTACATAGAAGGAACGGCACAGAAGCGGTAAAAGTTAATAACTCGTGCCGCCCAGGGCGAATAGTCGCGAGCTCTCGCAACACGCGAGTGTCTCTGATCGCGTGTGACATGCGAAAATCGCGTTTTTGATCTTTGATTACGATATTCGCACAACCGACATATTAATTGTGGCAATCGGCGCTTTCGATTAAAATATGTTCCGCTAATAATTGATTCGCGCAATTATTGTGATTACGAACGATGAAGTGGACGGAGTTTGAAGTATACTCGCGTGTACGTATGTGGCCGTACTATTTACTTCCCGTGTCAACGCTCTTGGGTTCCTTCTGAGAACGATGTCCCTGCAAATGGACTCGTGACGTTGCCACTTCTATTTCGCGAAACTAATATCCCCGCGCTAGACTTATGTTACAAGAAGTACTTCCTGTACCCCTCGGTCTCTCGCGTTCCCTTCATTTCCTCCGTGTTTCTTCACATCCTCCCGTGGTCTTCATTGAGCCCTCCGTCTCTCTTCCTCGCATCCATCCTCCCCGGCGATCGCTTCATCCGCCTTTTGTAATTTGTTACTCACATTATTAGACCGAGCGTGCGATCGGCAGCGCTGAAAATCTCTCTCGCTCGGCTCCGCGCGCGAACCCACCAGCACGGAATGAACAATGATGTTAAAGTTATTAAGTCGCGGCCGGCTCTTCTCCGTCCGGTCAGGAGCGGACAAGCGCCTGGGGATCGGGCCGGGCTGAAAAATCACGCGCGCGTCCACCGACTCGTCGCGTGAAATCAAAATGTCAGGAAGGGTGGCCTCCTCTCCCTTTCTCACACCTGGACTCTTGAGACCGTTCTTTTTCGCGTACGTCTACGGTGAGAACGGCGGCAAAGACAGACGGACGGGAAGGAAGACAGAGAGAACGAGAGAGAAAAGAAGAGAGGACTCTCGAGACGGTAGTCGCGCGTAACCCACACGGGGAGTTGTAACAAGGTATACACCAGGTAGGCGGCGGCTGTGCAACGGGAGCGAGCAGCAGAGGCGCACAGGAGGGCGTTCACCCGCCACGGTCAGTTATCGCCTCGCTCGCCACGCACACCGTCGCCGCCGTCGCCCTCTCCGGCTCTCCCGGCTGACGAAAGAAAAGGGAAAAAGGAAAGGGTAGACGGGGGGAGAAAAGAAAAAGAAGGGAAAACGAAGTATACGGGTATCACGGCGCGAATACGAAAGCGTCGGCCTGCAACGCGCGCGCCGAGATAAAGATAATAGGGCGTTCTCTCGCGGCGACGCGATAATATCGCGCGGAAAGTTCGCCGACGGTAGCAGACCGAGCGACCGGCCACGGGACGGAACGGCGGCGCGATTAGCGATTTTCCTCGATCGCGGCGACCGATCGTTTTGCTCCCGTTTCTCCGCCGCGCGTCTTGCGCGTCGTTTTGCGTCCCTGCGTTATGTTGCCGTCTCTTTCTCCCCCGGCCTCGGGTTATGGGCGTTTATTTTTCATGAGGTATCGGCCGCCTGCCTGTCTGCCTAGCTTTAGCCGGAGCCGAGGCGGAGATAAGCTCGATTAGAAGCGCGATTTTCCCTGGGCGAGGTGGTTGATGCGAGTCCCGATATATTCGTCGGCGTCGTTCTTTTTTTCACTTAGGCTCCCGCGCCGCGTTCTCAGCTTTCCCGGATTCCAGGCATCACGAGTCTTTCGTTATCCCATGCGATTACTCGAATATTCAAATTTGACGCTTCTTCCTGCGACGAGGGCGTTCCGATCAATAAACTTTTCCCCGCGATTTGTTCTGGGCGAAGAGGTTCACTTTCCTTCCAGTTTTCCCGGCACACGATCCCTTCGTTATTGCGTTCGCGATTAGCCACTTAAATATTCATACTCAATCATCCTTACGTTTCTCTCCTACGAAAATTATTCTAATTAATAAACCTTCTTTCGTTGTAGTGGGTAGTCACTTATTTTCCATGCGAATAACCATGAAGTGTGATTGTCTTCATTTTGAGCTGAGACTGTGTTTATGTTGGTGGAAAATCAATCGGTAATTATACAGTAATTACAATAGCACATTAATAGGCTGATCGAGCATTTATTTGCGAGCTCGTAATCGTTTGAATCGAATGTAAACGCGCCTCCTTGATCGCAAATGCGAAAAGCAACGACCGTTGCATAATGAGCGAGAATGCAGCAGCGTTGAAATATGCACGTTTTTGTGCGCACACGTACACAAGCGTGGAGTCGCGCGGCCATGGTTAATCCACGTTTCATTTGGGGAACCTTGTCTGTCGCCTCTTAGTTACTCGACCTACGGATTTAAGTACCACCTGGAGTCGCCAATCAGCACGTCGCAGCGACGCGAGGACGACAGAATAACGTACATCAACAAGGGCCAATTCTACGGGATCACGTTGGACTACGTGCCCGATCCTGACAAGCCACTCCTCAAGGCAGGACAGACAGTCAAGGTAAGAACAAAAAGGATAATTATACCGTTTGCATAACGGTATTAGTAGGATGAGGCGGACACACTATGTGTTCGAAGGACGGACGTTTATACCTTGAAGATCGCGCGCGAATCCGGTAATGGATTTAAGTTCGCGCGACGAGCTTTAATCGCCATGGAACTTGCAATATCGCGGATACCATCGCAACGCGGGATATAACTTTAAAGAAGCACGACCCACTCGTGCGTTCGCTCGCAGATAAAAAGATCCGTATCTCCCACGCTACGCTCTCCGTAAATTAATTTCGCATTCGTACCGTCCGTCGCGATTCACCATCTCCACAGTGCGGTCGTCTCTCGCGTCCTCATGGGCCGCCGTCTCGAGTTTCGCGGTGTCGTTCTTCCCCCGTTCTCTTTTTCTCTCTCACTCTCTATCTCCCTCCCTCTCTCCCTCTCTCTCTCTCTCTTCTTGCCGCGTGACTTTCAGAGCGGCAAAATTCACGGAGATGACGGGTACGACGGGAAAGACGCGCGATGCGCGTGTCGAAAGAAGGAGTTGGACGGGATCGTTTGTTCTCGCGGCTCTAATTGGCAGCCGCAACGCGCGCGCACCGTTAGCAATCTCCATTCTGATAAAGGTGGCGATTCTTTTTCCGCCGTCCGCGCGACGAGTTACGACTTCCTCGTTAATTGCTAATCGAGCGTCGGGGCGTGTGGCGATTCGAACGGTATATTCGCGTCTCTCGCGGCCGAGCCTCGGGGAGATTGGGCTCGCGTAAGTAAGTGTAACCGCGTAACGCGAGCCTCTTATTCACGGGTCTCTCTCTCTTTCTTTCTCTCTATCCCTCTCTGTCTCTCCTTCCCCATCGCGCGCCCATATTTCCTCCGGTACGTCGTGTAGTTCTTCGCCCATTCACCCGAATCACGAAAAATTCTTCCTCCGTCTCGGCGCTCGCTCGCTCGCTCGCTCGCTTGCCGCGAGCGGCGAAACGCGTACATACGCCCGCGTGTGCCCGCTCGAGCGTGCGTCTGTCGCGGCCGATGTGCGTCTCTGTATCGCTGTACAGCGGATCGGCGGCGATATCGCCGATCTAGCCGAACGGAAGCGCAAAAGTCAACTTTGTAGGCGCGGGAACGCACGCCGGATCGAGTCTCGGCTGCGCGAGACCTCAGCGCGAAACTTCGACTCGAATGTAGCCGGTGTCTGTCATTCTGTCTCCGTCGGAGGATTGCCGTAGCTAGTGGATCGGAATAATCCGCGAATGACGACAAAATAATTAATTATCCGTTACCCTGTCATGTAACTAATGGGAATCTGTTTGCTTTTGCGCAGAGTGTGGTAATGTTGATGTTTCGCGAGGAGAAGAGCCCGGACGACGAGATCAAAGCTTGGCAGTTCTGGCATGGTAGACAACACTCCGTCAAGCAACGAATTCTCGATGCTGGTAAGATAATAAGGATCTAACCGCGCTTGAACAGATAATAGCAAGACTTTCGATTCACTATTCGAACAATGCACATAGATAATAATTCTCAATATACACGATCAGTTAAATGTCTGTTTCTCATTTTTTTTTTTTTTTTTTTTTTTTTTAAGCAGCTTAATAATGGATAACGACGACGTAAGTAAGGTTATACCAAGACTGTACGTGGGTCTGCTATTACAATATATAATAATAATAACTACATTTCAATTCGCTTTATACGAACAATGCCCGTAGACAGCAATTCTAAGAAAAAAAGCACGATCCATTAAGTTTCTATATCTTTCATATATTTATTGTTCCTTTTTTCGTTCTATTTGCTTAATGTGTATCTGGAGGAACGACGGTAGAAGATCGTATCACGACCGTACGTGATCCGTTATTTTAATATTCTATCTAAACCGAGTGATACCGGGTAACACCGGGTGACGTTAGCTACTTCATATTCCCCTGCATGATCCGCGAGTTTAGAGTCACGTCCGTTGTTACAGACACAAAGAACAGCGTCGGCCTAACAGGCTGCATAGAGGAAGTCGCGCACAATGCGATTGCCGTTTACTGGAACCCACACGAAACGTCGGCGAAGGTAGGTATGAACGCCGGAAATGTCGATTCACGTTACCTCCTCGGCGATACGCCACCCCACCTCTGAATATATCCCGTCTATCACCGCGTGATCTCGCGCAAATCGTATCGCACACGCGCGCGCGCTCGATCGTACCATTTAGCGAGTACGTTTGATAAAGCAATTCCCGCACGTCGCCGCACGTACCTGTCCGATTTCTGCGCAGATAAACGTGGCGGTGCAGTGTCTCAGCACCGATTTCTCGAGTCAGAAGGGCGTGAAAGGTCTACCGCTGCATATTCAGATCGACACGTATGAGGAACCGCCACCCCACACGCACACTTACACGCCGCCTTCCCATCGCGGCTACTGTCAAATTAAGGTCTTCTGCGATAAGGTAACCGCCGTCGTTCATTACCATACGTTTATCTCTTTCTCTGTATCTCTCTCTTTCCTTTTATTTCTTTTTTTATCTTACGGTCGCGTTTCTGTTATAAATAACGCGATCGCTTCCTGGTCGCAATGCGATCGTTGAAATTAAGTTGAGAGATGACGTTGCTCGCCAGGGAGCGGAGAGGAAGACTCGCGACGAGGAGAGACGCGCGGCCAAGAGGAAGATGTCGGCGACCGGCAGAAAAAAGCTCGACGAGCTTTATCACTCCGTCACGGAGCGCAGCGAGTTTTACTCCATGGTCGATCTGCACAAACCGCCGGTGCTGTTCTCGCCGCCAGCCGAGCACGCCATCGACAAGGTAATCATCCACTTTTTTCATACATAACTCGAAGCGCGCAAGAGTGTCGCCGTAAGAGTCCGCCAGGTTCTCACGGAAGCGTAGATCAGAAGCGTGATTAAAGGCCAGTTAATTAATTAAACAGCAACATATGTTAAGCTCAGTAATCATATGAAAAAAAGGATTTCCTCATCACGAGGGATATTACGTGTAGGATGAATTTTTCTTCTTTAATGTCTCATTGACTTGCATAACGCATCGTAAAGAGTCTCCCGTCAATTAACGAGTTTTTTATCTTCAAACAAAGCGTCGTCCAAGTATCTGAGCATGCATTAACTAACTAATCGGCAAAAAAATCGAGCAGCATTCACAATCCTCTGCTTTCACCTCCGCCAAAACTCTGCACTAACTGCAACTCTCGCATCGCGCAAAGTAATGACGTGGACTTTTCTTTCAAGACAGACTGCCTTTCGAATTTTGCGTTAATCAAATGAAACAGTAGCATTCCACTTTTTAATATTATCACTTTATCTTATAATAATTCGCGAAATTATAATTGCTATGCTTGCAATGATTAACAGTAACATCTCATATTAGTACTTTAATGCAGAAACGCAATTGCCATTTGCAAATCTTTCCTCTTGCTATCCTTCACATTTCTAGATACGCGTGTGTCGTTTTCTGGTACTTTATATCTTTTTTGCACATTAACTTAAAACAAGTATATTTGATGTTGCATAGTAGCTTTTTATTTTCCAACGCAAAATTCGAAAGCATCACGGTTCCACTTGTCGTCGCGACTGGAGCGAGAAATAAATCTTGTTCTTCTTCCACGACAGTTCTCGACGATGGAGTTGTCGGGCTTCTACGGTGGTGGCGGCGGCGGGGGCGGTGGTGACACCGACACCTCGTCCCTCAGTAACGGTGAAAGTGGAGGATTGAAGGCGGGGGGTAGCAGCCCCTATCCGGCATGCGGCAGACCCAGCTTGCCGGCCCTCAAGTTCCACAACCACTTTCCGCCCGACAATCTCAGTAGTCTACACGACAAGAAGGACTCGTTGCTGATGCAGGTGCAGGAACTGCAGGGCTCGGTGCTGCAGGGGGTACAACAGGCCGGTCTCACGGGCACGGTGGTGTCCAGCGTTGGCAATCGACTGCATTTACAACAGCAGCCTCAACACTTGCGCCCTGCTGACGCCGAAGAACGCGTAATGCTATACGTACGTCAGGAGTCGGAGGATGTCTATACACCACTGCATGTCACACCGCCGACAGTTCAAGGACTGCTCAATGCTGTAAGAAACACCCTAAGGATCTCTTTTGTACCGCCAACACGCGATAGACACCCGCGTTCGCGTTCGTGACCGCGCACACGTAGTCGCTTTTGGTCTTTGAGGATGCAACTGCAAGATTCGCGGGATGCACCCTTGCGCCTGCATCGCTCTCGGAGATATCCTTGAGAGGATGTTCAGAGTTGAACGGAACCGAGGAGACAGCTCCGTTGTCGCGATGCGACGTCGTGAGCTATCGACGCCCGCGGTGCGTAGAAAATCATTGATGTTTACTGGGAATCGTATGATAATGTAACTAACTCCGGAGCAAGGAATATAAATATCGCAGATACTCGCAGATTTACGAACTGCGAGTGCGCCAGGAGGGATTATATACTTTCGACAACTGTGTGTCTCAACAAAACGTTAACACTTGTCGCACCGGCTATAAGTATAGCAAATAAAATAACATCCCGTAACGAACTCGTTCGTATGCCGCGCAGAAATGGAAATGGAAAATGGAAATTTTCTCGTCGCAATTTCCATACCGCGACCGATAACTATACGCGTGTGCCGCGCAGCGGTGGCTATAACTTTTTCATGCAAAACGCAACCGTGGGCGTTAATGGGTTAATCCGCGATTACGTAGTCGCTCGTAAAGCCCGGCGAGGCTTGCTCTAGAAACAGAACACGACCGACGATGATAATAATACAACATACAACGCGCCTATCATCATCGATCGATACGCTTCCTGTAGCCGCTAACTGCAGGTAAACACATCCACGCTTAATGAAGTCACGCCGGAAGGTAACTAACTGTCCGTTTCGATTTCAATCGGCGCCGGTACGGTCTCTCTCGCTTATTGAATCGCATTCGATTCGACGATGAATCCCGCGCGGAAGTGACGCTAGAGGGATGTTATGCTCTTAGCAAACATATTTATTTACATACATACATATACATATATATATTAATATATATATATATATATATATATATATATATATATATATATATATATATATATATATATATATATATATATGTATGTATGTATGTATGTATGTATGTATAGAGTCTCATGAGAGTACATTACCCATGCATGTGAAAGCATACTGCGCCATTATTAATATCCGTTCGCACTGGTTCACTCGCTAATTAATATTAATGCGCATGCATCACTGTCCACTGTCCAAGATCCTCATTAATATAATATCGAAGTGCAAGACGTACGATCATTACCCCTCCCTTCGTGGGTGTGTGTGAGATTGTCGACGACTTATCAAACGTTGACATAAGAGCGCGTTACACCGATCAAAACCGGCGGAAGAAAAAAGTGGAAAGAAACACCTTCTTTCTCTTTCTTTCTCCTTTTCAACCTATCTTTCTCTCTTAACAATCTATTTTCTCTTCTCCATCGCGCATCTTCTCCTTCCGCGAACAAATCTCCCGTTCCTCTCTTGATTGCGCTAATCGATTTTTGTCTCGATCGCGACGACGGCTGTACGTCATGAATATTCTTTTGTTTGTTAATTATTTTTGCTATTATATCTTCTACTTATCTTGTCTATTTGTATGTCTCTGTATTTATTTTCTCTTCTTCTCGTTTCTTTTTCTCTGTCTCTCTTTCTTTGTCTTTCTCTCTGTCATTCCTCGCGGTGAATTGCGTCTACCTACCTACGCGCGTCTCGCAGTACTTTCTCGTACGCAAGAGTGAAACGAACGACGGTCCGCAAACCACTATCAAAATTCTAATGTTCTACTTTTTTCTATTTTACAGATTGAGTCAAAGTACAAAATTGCATCCTCGAGTATTAATAACCTCTATCGCAAAAACACAAAGGGGTAAGTTTAGTAGAGTGTCATCTTTACTTGCATGCACGCCTACGTAGTGCATGCCATAACGGTGACATTGCCTGACTCTCTCCGCCTGGTTTGGTAGTCTCTCTCTCTCTCTTTCACTCTTTCCCTCTCGCCTATGATCGTGCCTCTTTTAATTGTATTTCGGATACGTTTCTCCGCGCGATATACGTCCGAATGTGTCATCGCGTATGCTGTCATTAAAATCACTCTCTATCTCAATCACCAACCTTAACGCGCATGTTGTTTGTCACCGCACGTTGACCGCATATCTCGTCCGATTAATCCACTAATCCTTTACACTTCTCGTCTTCTGCCTTCTGTCATGAGCATTCGTGCACTCGCTTACCTGCCTCGCATAATGTCGCATCACGCGTCCCGCATGGCTGTTGTGTGATTCTTTGTTTTGCCCGTTTACCTTATACGATGGTTACGCACGGCGGATTCCTCTCGACCGTTTTCCTCGAACAGTTACTCTTCGTTTATTCGATATATCTCACGTCGTAAAATCGAGTCTCTCTTTCTCTCACTCTCTCTCTTTCTCTCTCTCTCTCTCTCTCTCTCTGTCTCTTTCTCTCTAGCTACGCGCAGCG